AAAAAAAAAAAAAAAAAAAAAACAACCCAAAAGGATATGTAAGTATCGTACAAAGCATAGTCTTACCATTTTCAGCGAGAATAATGGTAGGGTTTCCATAGTGTTCTTTGATATATGTTATAGCTTTGTACATTCCCCATGGCACAATGTAAAGCAACTTGGAATTTGCCTGAAAATACATTACATTGTACATTATTTATATTCAAGCATGATAGTACTAGATCTCGAACCAGAACGAAAATTAGAAGATATTTTTTTCAATACAATGTAAATTTGTAATTACCTTGGGTCCAATTGGCACTCCGTTGCGATCAACTACAAAATAAAGTAGAAACAATCAAACTCGAAGTAAATGAAGATAAATGGATAAATAAGTTAGAGAGCTCACAAGCAGTTCCAATTCTCATATCAAGAGAATAGTTTGTAGGTTTGGATTGCAATGGTAAATGAGGATCATTATAAGCATAATAAGTAGTGTATTGGTTAATTCCCACAAAATCCATGGAACCTTTGACCATCTTAACCTCATTTGGTGTGAATTTGGGCAACCTTTCTTTAACAATCTCCTGCATTGTTTTCGGATACTCGCCATATATTATCGGGTCAAGAAACCTAAAAAAAGACATAAACCCGTTAAAGACTATGCTTGATTAATTGTAAAATAAAACATTTATGCTTAAAATTGCTTGCTTTTTATTTATTTATTTATTTATTTATTATTATTATTATTATTATTTTGGGTGCAATTACCATCCGATACTGAAGTCTATTCCTCTTTGAGCTGCTGCTTTGTCATTGGCCGAGTTGGATAAAGGTTCATACCAAAGAAAATCCAATATGATCCCTATTCTTCCCTTTTGTGTAGCCTGATAAGATCAGAACTAGCAATATATCAATCAAAATGAAATGTACTTTATTAATAAACAATTTTAATAAGGTTGACGTTATGAACAGATCTTAAAGCTTGACATTTTTTCTCTGTAGTTATATGTATAGTTGAGTGTACTCCAGGGATTCCTGGGTTGAGTTTTACTAACATTTCATAATGATTAATGAAAATTCTTCATTTACCAACAGAAATTACAAACAAAAAAATTTAATTAGCAGTATCGCCTTGGTCGCATTTCTAAAAACTCTTTAATTCTTAGTCTGCGCTACTAATCATCCCATTTTAGTTTAATTCCCCTAATCTAAGGGGCTATTTGATTCATGATTTGTATAGAAAACTTTATTGAAAACCCATGATAGTGGAAGTTGTAGAAAACAGCGTCGAATTGTTCAAAGTGTTGAAAAACAAGAAAAATCAGCGTCTATAGAAAATCTCGGGTCAATCAACTGGTTGGGTTGACCAGTCGACTAATCATATGCACACTACAGGGTCTGGAAACCACATTTTGGACAGTCGACCGATGCATCATTATCAGTCAACTGATGGAGGCCGACCGGTCTACTGATAGAGATGCATCGGTTGACCGATAGTGGTAATTGGGCCGGTTCTACAGTTTTTCTTTCCCAGCCTGTTTTGGATTGGATTGCTGATATAAATAGAAACACGTTTTCTAGGATTGTAAGAGGGGTGTTTTTTTAGAGATAATTGATTGTTTTGAGCACTTTGAGAGGAAGATTATTGTGAGAGAGTGAGAGATCATTGGTTAGGATTATTTTGAGTGTTTGCGTGAGTTGTAACCTGTTGTTTTTCTCCTCCATATAATGAAATCTCCTCATCCTATCCCCGTGGATGTAAAAAATTTGCCGAACCACGTAAATCTCTGTATTTGTGTGTGATTTTGACCGTTCTCTTTGTGAACCGTGCTCATTGGTGTTCTCTTGTCAGGTGCTTACCGACTTGTGATTTGTGCACGCTTCCGTCGTCACGCAACAATTAGTATCAGAGCTCTAGGGTTTTAGACCTAGAGTTTGGTTTGGATGGAGGAAATTCGGTGTTGGAAACTTGGATATTAGAGTTCTAGACTTCGGCGGAGATAGCATTACGGAGTTATCGTTGGAGATCTCACCTTTCTCGTGTGGTTGGGAGTTCGTTTTGGAATCCTATATAGGGTTCAAGTTGGATAATATATCAATTCTATTAGTTCGAATTTCCTCTACAATTCGGAGTTAGAAAGCAATGGCAGGAGATAGTGGTGAAAGTAGCAAGGCTACGACAAGTACAGTTCAGGCTATACTTCAGAATACGAAGATCAGTGTTATGAAGTATAACGGGAAGATCAACTTTGGGCTGTGGATAAGTGATGTACAAGCTGCATTGAATGCTTAAAATTTGAGAGAGGCTATTATGACTCATGAGAGGGCACTAAAGTATGATGAGACGATATGGGACAAGATGAATCGGAATGCTTGTGGGGTGATTAGATCTTGTTTGGAACAATAGTTGAAGTATGATGTTATCAGCGTGACGTCTGCGATGAAAATGTGGAAGATTCTTAACAATAAGTATCTTACGAAGAGTGTTGAAAACCGATTGCACTTGCTGTGAAGGTTGTTCAGATTCCAGATGTTCAGGGGTACCTCACTTGTAGATCATGTGAACAACTACACAAAGTTATTGTCGGACTTGGCGAATGTCGATGGGAAGATATTGGATTACTACAAGGCGATCATTTTGTTAGGCTCATTACCCGATGAGGAGTATGATACTTTTGTGCTCACATTATTGAATGATAGATCTTCCATCACCTATAGTGAAGTGACTAATGCATTAACGAATTTCGATTTGAGGAGGAAGGATAAAGAACCAATGTGCTTTTTGTAAAGAACAAGGACATTGAAAGAGAGATTGCATGAAGCTCAAAGAGAAGGAGAATAGCAAGAAGAAGGGGCCGAAGGCCAATGAGGTGAATGTTGCTAAGAGTGGTAATGATTCCGACGATTTATGCTTTTCTCTATTGATTACTCCAGAGGTTAACCATGTTAATGCATCGGATTGGATGCTGGATTTTGGTGCTACTTATCATATCTCCCCGGAGAGATTGGTTTGCATCTTTCGAGAAGCTCGATGGGAGTATGGTGGTCATGGAAAATGATCAGTCTTGTGGCATTCGTAGGATATGTATAGGATTCGGATGCATGATGGAGTTGTTCGAGATTTGAATAAAGTGAGATTTGTTCCTCAACTGAAGAAAAATCTTATTTCCATTGGAGCTTTGGAGACAAATGGATTCAATGTGACTTTTGAAAACGTTGTACCAAAAGTTACTAATGGGTCTTTGGTAGTGATAAAGGCGGTCCGCAGTAGGAATCTTTATTATTTGAAGGGAAGCATCGAGATTGGCTAGGTAGCTTTAGTAGTTTCAGAGCCAGATGTGAGTAGACTTTGGCACTACAGATTGGAGCACACATGAGAAAAGTCACTACAGGCATTGTGCGAGCAGGGGCTATTGAAGGGAGCCAAGAGTGGGAAAATTAAATTCAGTGAGCACTGTGTTCTTAGAAAAAAAGACTAAAGTGAAGTTTGGGACAACCATTCATAGTTCAAGAGGCATCTTGGACTACATGCATACGAATGTTTAGGGTCCCACCAAGACGGCATCACTTGGTGGTCAATATTAGTTCACCACGTTTGTGAATGACTATTCTAGACGTTGTTGGGGGTACACCATGGCAAAAAAGAGTGAAGTCCTAGAGATATTTGTAGAGTGGAAGAGAAGATTAGAACTACAGACAAGGAGAAAAGTCAAGATGTTGAGATTCTACAATGATGGAGAGTATACTTTAGACCCCTTTCAGCAACTATGTCGAGACGAGGGCATAGAGATACACTTCATAGTTAGTCATACACCACAACAGAATGGAGTGCCATAAAAGTTGAATCGGTCTTTACTAAAGAAGGTCCGATGTTTATTATCGCAAAGTAGTTTAGAGAAGATCTTTTAGGCTGAGGTACTTACATATACAAGCCACCACATTAATAGGTTGCATTCATCTGCGATAGAGGGGAAAACTCCTATAGAGATGTGATCGAGAGAGCCATCACATGACTATGATCAGCTTAAGGTATTTGGGTGCTCTGCATTTTATCATGTCAGAACTGATAAATTAGAATCTCGAGCTAGAAAGGTCATATTTGTGGGATTCAAGCGTGGTGTGAAAGGTTATAAGCTTTGGGATCTAGTTAAGAAGAAGATTGTGCTGAGTAGAGACGTCCCTTTTGACGAGGCTTCGCTCTTGAAGCCTTCTAGCTCTTATCAGGTGGAGAGCACCCCCGACAGAGGAGACGTCACAGATGGTGGAGATTGATGTAGCTCCACATAGTTCAGATAGGATCGTATCTATTAGAGTGCTGACTGAGGTGACACCAGGCGAGCACATTAATAATTTAGAGTATACAAGTACGACAGAGCAAGATCAAGGACCGACGGCTCAAGTTCAAGATTCGATTGCAGTTCGAAGACCTAGTAGAGACATACGGTTGCCAGTGAGGTATACAGATACAGTGGTTGCATATACACTTCCGATAGAGAGTATCGATGAAATGGTTCCTACTATATTCAGAGTGGCTGAGCAGAGTTCAGAGGATGATTTGTGGCAGGAAGCTATGCAGGAGGAGATGAAGTCTCTTCAGAAGAACAACACGTGGTAGCTTATCAAGCTTTCAAAGGGGCGGAAGGCAATTAGTTGCAAATGGGTGTGTACCAAGAAGGAGGGCATTCAGGGCACTCTAGTGAGGTTCGAAGCTAGGTTGGTAGTGAAGGGTTATGCACAAGAAGAAGGCATTGACTAGCTTTGGTGACACAATATGATTTGGAATTGGATCAATTGGATATGAAAATAGCTTTTCTTCATGGTGATCTTGATGAAGAAATATATATGACTCAGCCATTGGAATTTTGAGTGATAGGAAAGGAAAAATTGGTGTGTAGATTGAAGAAATCGCTATACGGGTTGAAGCAATCTCCGAGACAGTGGTATAAGCGGTTTGATGGGTTTATGCTCGGTCATTCATACATTAGGAGCCAGTTTGATTCTTGTGTGTACTATCACAAGTTACATAGAGGTGCGTACATTTATTTGTTGCTTTATGTCGATGACATGTTGGTTGCTTCTATTTCCAGATCCGTCATAGATGAGTTAAAGATACAGCTTTCGAGCGAGTTTGAGATGAAGGATTTGGGTGAAGCAAAACGCATTTTTGGGATGGAGATCGGCAGAGACAGAGATAAGGGCAGAATATGTTTGACACATGTGGCTTATTTGAAGAAGGTGCTACAGCGATTTAATGTTAGTATGGAGACGATGCCAGTCAGTGTACATTTGAGAGCTCATTTGAAGCTTTCAGCTGACCTTTCACCGAAGAGAGTTGAAGATAGAGAATTAATATCGAAGACTCCTTATGCGAGCGTAGTGGAAAGTTTGATGTATGTCATAGTATGTACAAGGCCGGATTTGTTACAGGCAGTTAGCCTGGTTTCACGGTACATGCACGACCCGGGTCCGGGTCATTGGGATGCCATGATGTGGTTTTTGAGGTACATTCAAGGTACTCTCAACGTTGGTTTGGTGTTTGAGCGGGACACTAGTGGTGGGGAGCTGTGTATTTGTTGTGTTGATTTAGACTATGCTGGAGATTTAGATAAACGCCAGTCGACGACGGGATATGTGTTCACTTTGACCCATGTACCGGTGTGTTGGAGATGCACCTTGCAGTCTACAATGGATTTTTCTATGACGGAGGGTGATTATATGGTGGTTACAGATGCTGTTAAGGAGGCAATTTGGCATCGAGGACTTTTGGAAGATCTTGGCGTTTCGCAGCGATCCGTCATCATTCATTGTGATAGCATGAGTGCTATCTATTTGGCCAATAATTAGGTTTTCCATGTGAGGAAGAATCATATCGACGTTCGTTATC